GATAAGGGATTATCATTATTTACATTATTTATGTGCAAACTATTGTCCCCATCTTTGTTGCTATTATCACAACTTTTTGTCCGTTGTACGATCCGGCATTTGTTAGGGATTTGTCGATCCTGTAACTTTCAGGGAACTTCAAATTGAACCTTTTATTAAATCTCCGGGGTTAGATTGTTCTAGTTCGGGTAAAACTTGTCTTAAGATAACACGCCTAGGTTGTACTTATTTAGTACTGGCCAGTCAGAGTTCGCCCAGTTACCAGTGAGTCAATTTATCTTGTTACTTCGGTAGGTATTAGTAGATTAGTATGTACATAACATCCTTCTGTTATCTTTAATAAATAATAGACCGTTACGGAATAGTTTATTGGTTGGTGGTATATAAGAGACTGTTTGGTTTCAGCGAGGAAATATAAGCGTACTTAGAAAGAAAGAAAGAAAGAAAGAAAGAAAGAAAGAAAGAAAGAAAGAAATTACCTGTAATAGACAATGCAGAGTTACGGAATGGACTATAGGCGGGTGGTACCTAAGAGACTCTGTTTGGTTTCAGTGGGAAATGTAATCGTATGTGATAAGAAAGAAAGAAGGAAAGAAAGAAAGAATAAAATAAAATAAAATAAATGAATAAATTATCTTTAATAATCAAAGGACCATTACGGAATGGTCTATTAGCGGGTGGTATCTAAGAGACACTGATTTCGACGCGAAAATGTAATCGTACGTAATGAGAAAGAAAGGAAGAAAAAAAGAAAGAAAGAAAGAAAAAAAGAAAGAAAGAAAGAAAAAAGAAAGAAAGAAAGAAAAAGAAGGAAAAAAATTTCGCCATTTTAGTTAGTAAATTGAAAAGCAAATCATGAATAAAGGGAAAATTCATAAAAAATGAAGACATGATAAAAGGGAACATTGGAGTAAAAGAAAGAAAGAAAGAAAGAAAGAAAGAAAGAAAGAAAGAAAGAAAGGGAGGGAAGATGGAGGAGGCAAAAAATGCTCTCATGGTTTCTAAACTCTTCTTCAGTGGAATAGAAGACCTTTACAATTTTGAACCTTTTCATTTGTACCCTCTTACTTCTTTCAATAATGGCATGCATTTATACTTATTATTGTTGGTGTAATATTTTATTTTAGTTTTTAATCTGAAATATTTACCGATGCACTGGGAGAATTTACCCGGATATTTTATAGCTGTTGGAATCACAATGAACTTATTCAATCATTAGCTTTAAAATAATGATGATTCAGAAAATTTAATATCGCAAAACATGAAATTTTCCCAGGTATTACTAGATGATTTACTTAGTAAAGAGTGTAGGTTGATTTTACTACAAAGTCAAAAATATGCCGGAGCCAGTGAGGATCGAACTCATTTCTATATGATTTACTTACTAATTCTATTTTGACGGTTTTTTGGGGTTTTTTTTTTCCATTCTATTCTGGATGTCAGAATGAAATTAAATAAAATACACGCAACACATAAGTAGTTTTTGATAGCATAAAAAACAGATTTTTTTTGTATTGAAAATCTTCTTCACAGGAATTTCTTTCGTTGGTAAAGATGCCCTGAAACTATTTTAAAAAAGTGCTTGATTTTCTTATTACTGAGAGAATTCAAAGAAAACCGCGGATTTTTTACATCTTTTATTTTCTGATCTCAACTGGCATTAGATTTTATTCTAGATGGCCCGATAACATAGGGGGATAGAAAAGGTGTGTGGAAAAAAAAAATGTAACAGTCAATGTTTTGTTAGAGCGATGAATACCAATTAACGTTTTCCCTTGGTATGAAGGGGAAAGGTGTAGACCGTGATGGTATGGAGTCTGCGTTATCGGATGTAGTGCGTTGAATGTTGTCCTGATGGTGTACAGTTAGTTTTTCTTCTACTGTATACGTTTTCATGTCGACTTTTCTTATCTCCCCTTTTGAAACTGAAAATGTTTGGCCGATCGATCAGGTTTTTTTTCAACGTTTTTATTTCTTTATTGCTTTTCACGAAATGACTCCTTTTGGTGATTGGCGTGTTTCTTATTCTTTCTTTTTCCTTGCTTTCTTTCATTCATTCATTTATGTTGTTTCACTCTTCCATACAGTGTAATTCTTTTGCGTTTTCCTAAGACTAATCCACTTTCAATACTTCTATATCGTAAATATTCATGCTTTCTTATCTATCTATCTATCTATCTATCTATCTATCTATCTATCTATCTATCTATCTATCTATCTCTGTTTATTATCTATTTACGTTCATTATCTGTCCATCAAATTCAGTTCATATCTTTCAATCTATATATCTAGAAAGCTACCTCAGTCTGTTATCTATCTATCTATCTATCTATCTATCTATCTATCTATCTATCTATCTATCTAGATAGATAGATGAAGATAGATAGATAGATAGATAGATTATATATCTATCTGTGTTCATTATATATCTATCTATCTATCTATCTATCTATCTATCTATCTATATATATATATATATATATATATATATAGATAGATAGATAGATAGATTCATCTATACATACATACATACAGATATCACACTCTGTTCATTATATATCTATCCGTGTTCATTATCTATCTATCTATCTATCTATCTATCTATCTATCTATCTATCTATCTATCTATCTATCTATCTAGATAGATAGATAGATAGATAGATAGATAGAACACTTTGTTCATTATATATCTGTCTGTGTTCATTATCTATCTATCTATCTATCTATCTATCTATCTATATATATATATATATATATATATATATATATATAGATAGATAGATAGATAGATAGATACATACATACATAGATATCACACTCTGTTCATTATATATCTATCCGTGTTCATTATCTATCTATCTATCTATCTATCTATCTATCTATCTATCTATCTATCTATCTATCGTACTGTATGTCTATCTATCCTAGACTGTTCATGGTTGCTGAATATTCTTTAGCTAGATAAGAGAAGGATTCCCGCCGCAGAAATTTTGATGTTTGGCCTTTTGATCCTTTTGTGAACATGGGTCAGGCAGAAAAAAATAAAAAAGTCTCTTGTTAGCATACATGAAAAAAAGTTCAATAAATCACTTAACAAGCCATTTTTAATGAAATATTCATTAGAGATGCACTGCTGTTGAAAAATACGCGCGCACACACACATATACACACACACACACACACACACACATATATATATATATATATATATATATATATATATATATATATATATATGAGTGTGTGTGTGTGTGTATGTGTGGGTGGGTGTGTTTGTGAGTGTGTGTGCGCGCAAGTAATCAGAAAATAGGAAGGAACACGTTAGGTAAATAATCCGGAGTTCTTTAGTATTTTTGTTTTTATTTTTAAGAAGACAATGCTCCATACATAAGTAGAGCTTATATTATAATATTTTTTTAAAAAAATATGATTCATTCGCTACATAAGAGTTCTCATGTTTCAAAAACGAGAGCCGAAACCATCAATATAATTATTAAAATTAAGTTGAATCAAGGTTTTGGGTCCCGTTTCATCCTCAAGCGAAAATGTAGGAATACCATATATATATATATATATATATATATATATATATATATTACCCTTATGAGGTAAATTTGGATTTATTTTGTTGTGTACTACTATTTATTTGCTCTGTAATAATAAATACACTGAGCTCTTTTGTGGATCAGTTTTAATATTTTATATCACTTGGATGACATATCAATAGTTTTATTATCTTTATATATATATATATATATATATATATATATATATATATATATATATATATATATATATATATTATAAATTTGGGTATATATTCCTGACAGAGTTATAAATTGTTGACATTTGGAAAAACACTCATGAAATTATCTTTCGAAAAAAAAACAAACATTATGTATTTCGCCGATTAGGCTTCATCAGATCGAAAATGAAAAAACGAATTGTGTGTGTATGTAGTAGTGTGTATTTTAAAGAATGAAATTCCATATTTTTCCATAGCTGGCGTTGCTCGTGACTCAAAATGAGAAAGAAAATGATTGAAGTTTTAAAAGTCGTTTAACATTTTATGTTCTTTGCTTAAGGTGTTCGATGGGTTATGAGTTATAGGAATGTTTTTTTTTTCTCCGATTTCGTTCAAACTCGATATGTAGGTTACTTAGATTATGACGAGCTCAACGATACCTCATTTTTTATTTCTACGCCACTGCGTTTAGCAAAAACCGAGATAAACGAAAAATTGATTTCAACATAGAATTTTAAACTAAAAACTCCCTCAATTTTCAGCAATCTAATACAAACTTCACTCAATTGTAATCAACAATAAGTTGATTGTTTAACAGTCATTTAACTTGATAATTGTCCACCATTAAGTGAAAAACCACCTACATAGCGAAAAATGACGACTTTCACTGGTTTCTTTCATATTTTTCGTTGATCTTTAAACCAATTTTCATCAAACTTAATAATTGCCTTATAAATGTATCCTCTTTTATATTCCTGGTAGCACACTGACAAAATGAATTTCAAAAACTCCAAAATAATTATAGCCTGAAGTGAGTCTTCCTGTTGTCTGTTTTATGTCCTCGGTTAACTTCGATTGAATAAATGCATATTACTTCTGTTCTATCAATAACTGTATTAATTCAAAATGTTTTTGTTTGTTTTAAGCAAAGTATTTTAACGTAATTGAAGACGATAGACTCTGTCACATCTAAACATGATGCTGTTTTTGTCCCATTCTAATTGAACGCTTTTTCTGATCGACCAGCTGACTAGGTCTGCTAGTGCTATATATATTAAAATTCCGGCGTCCACTTTCTCACAAATGAGATTTGCGGCTACACCACGTTGACACATCTTTGTCGTATACTTTCTTGGTAGAATACTAGTTAAGAAAATATACAAAAATAGTAAGACAGTTAGGTTTCTTCACCAGATTTCTTTAACTTATACAGGTTGACGGTTCTACGTGTAGTAGAGGCTTAGGGCCGTATAATGTTGAAACACCGGTTCTCTTACGATCACCGAAGTTAAGCAAAGTCGAGCCTGGTCTGTCCTTAGATGAGTGACCGCTTGGGAATGTCAAGTGATGTAAACGTGAATGCGTGTCTGGTGTAATGGATAATGGCTTGCAATTATTAATCGGAGGGGTTCGTTATATTCACACGCGAATTGCCTTGGGGAAGGTATGAATCCTCTCCTTTTCCCCTTTTTGGGTTAATTAGTAAAACTTGTATCATCAAATCATTATTATATTTTAAAAACAAGAAAAAATCCCCCCCCAAAATTCCTGGCATTAAATAAACTGCAAATAGTTGAGAAACCGTAAAAAATGAATGATTCAATCAATGGCACAAACTTTGCAGGAAAGCCAGAATTAAGTTCTTTAACCGTAGCTTAAAAGCAACAAAACTTTTACTCTTTATCCTTGCGCGGCAGCCATTCAAGGTCATCCGTATTTCTAAAACTGTGGACATGTGCAAGTGGGGTAATTGAAAATGGCACAGTATTGTGACATCACCCCGGCCTCTCTCCGCGCCCACCGCCGTGCTATCCTGGTCACGGCACCAATTGTGACGTCATCTCGGCCTCTCTCCTGCGACGACCAATGTGACTTGATATTGGTCGCGGCACCAAATGTGACGTTCTAACCATTTGCTGATTCGGATGGGAATCTGGTTAGATTCGGTATCAACTCCCAGCTCGCCTCCAACGTCTGGTTACCGAAGTAACTGCTTTGATTTCTAGTCTAACCTACCCACGTTGTGATTTGATCTTAGGTAGACGAAATCAATCAGTCGCCGGGCCGCAATGCAAGCCGAGTCCTAGCAAAGGTAACACCACACAAGTATATGTAAAAGAAAATAAAGTAACAACTCGAAAAATTCAAATGTGTTAAAAAAAAGAATAACAAATATTTTTATATCTGGTTGCTGAATACAGGACGGCATCTTTCTCCCAAACCGCTAATATGGATTCGTGACACTTTGTGTTTGTTTGGCGAGTCTTAACATCTTAAGTTGTTTTTTAAAGAAACAGTTTATTTTTTTCTATCTTCAGGCGATATTCGTAAAAGTTATTTTAGTGGTGTGAGTCTAAGTCGTTCTTCAAAAATAAATTGTTTTTGGTTAGAAGTTGAAGTCGGGATGCGTGGATCTTCAGTCAGCTTCCTGCGAGGCTGGTCTCAGAGCTCAACAACTTCAACTGCAACTAACTTCTCTCTCACTAACCCCCAACTGTTTCTAACTCGCTGCGACTCTGCTTATATGGACGCCGACCAAAACCGGATGTGGGCTTGTCGTGGTTTGAGTTCCTCGATAATTCTAAATCCACAAGGATTTTCATTGTTTTCGGACAGGAAAATTTATCACTTTCCATTTTTGGAAGTCCATTACTTTTTGCTATAGAGGGGTTCTTAAGGGTATCGTCCTCCCAAATTCTTTCTTTCTCATATTGGTATCTCACACCAATCCCCTCAGAGGGTGTCAACAGGTTTCCCTTATCTCTCTCACAGTGGCATCTCACACCAATCACTTCAGAGGTGTCAACAGGCCTCCCCTCCTTCTTATATGTTTACTTTCGCCCACCGCTCACGCCACCACTCAGCCAATGATGTTCGGCAGCGCGGGTGTACACAATTATTGCTCAAAGGGAAAAAATTATCTTCCCAGTTCTTTTTCTTTTCTCCTTTTTTTCCACCAGACCTACGACTTGTAGTGTGGTCCGTAATCTCTATCTTAACCGAATGTCATCTGGATTTTATGAATCGAGATTTTCGCCAGCGTCAAGTGGGTGGTATTGCTAATTATCTCTCCCGGTATCAAAATTTTATCATGTTCAGGTCTGGAGAATAAAACAGGTGTTTCTTTCCAAAAACAAATGATATCTCCGAAAGATAGTTAATGGTTTATTCTTTTCCCTTTCTCTTTTCCATTCCTTTCTTTTTTTCTTTGGCGATGGTCTTCAGCTGATGTCTTTCTCGGTCAGTGCGTGACCTGATTACCATTATCTCTTAGCATTCTGTTTTTTAGGCCACTTGACCAATTTGAAATTTTCATTATTACCATGGGCAGATGGCTATCTTTTATTCGCCGTCTCGTAACATAAATTAATTTGACAGATCCGAGATCTTACGAATCTCCTGTCTTCTGCGAGAGAAAAAATACTTTTTCTTTTCGCAAACGAAAACAAAATCTTCACCACTTTTCTTTGTCAAAAAAAAATAGCATCGCTCAGTATGTCTTTTCGTGATAGCTTCTTCTCGCCTTAATTATTTCAGCTTCTTCTTTCTCGCTTTTAGTTTTCACGCGACCGCTAAATAGTGTCCCAGTATTTTGAATAGGAGATCTAAGTTCCAATTCAAGTTGTGTTTGTTATATTCACTTACGCGCAAATACCCTTGGGAAAGGCATGAATCCAGCTCCCCCGCAGCTGTATGTTAATTAGTAAGACTTGTATTAATAAATCATTAGTAACTAAAATAAGGAAAAATACAGATCCTTGCAATCTAAAACTAACAAAAAAACAAAACAGATTCTTGTAATCTAATAATATTTTCAGGCTTTAAATACCCAGCAAAAATTTTGGTAAGCCGTGAAAAACGACTCAATCATTCAAAAACAATTCTTTCCTTCTTCTTTTAAATCTTTCTCTTAAATCTTTCTCTTTACATCATCCCGATTTTTTTTTCTTTTTCTTTTAGCGTTTTTCTTTTTTTTTCTTTCTGTTCATCTCGTTTTTCTTTCTTTCATCTCTTTAATGTTTCTCCGTATTTTTTTCTTTTTCTTTTCAATTCTGTCTTTCGTTTTCATTTTCTCCTTACACATCGTTTCCAGTTTTATTGGTCTCACGGTTTTGTGCAAGCGTAAATTTGCCCGGAAGGGACACGATCCTCGTGCTACTCACGCAAGCCATTTTTTTTTCTTCTTTCCAACGAGTTTTCTATCAGCAGATCAACGTTCTCGTTGACTTACCATTTTTGTTGACTTCATTCCTCAGTTTTTTTTTTGTCTTTATATTCTTCTTTAGTTACTTTACAGAGTTAACTTCTCAGTTATTTATTTTTGCGTGTCTTTATATACTTAGTATTAGTCGCTCAGGTAACCAGGTAGACAAACTACACGGCTTTTTATTATTGCACTGTCGGTGCAGACATTCGTGTAAAAAGAGTTGAAGTTAGATCGTGTAAGTTGTTTGCCACAGTCTTGTATATTTGAACAGTTTTTGAGCTATTTTAATCATTTCTTTCTTTCTATCAATCTTCCTTTATTTGCTTGCTTTTTTTTTCTGCTTTGTTTATCTCTCTCTCTCTCTCTCTCTCTCTCTATATATATATATATATATATATATATATATATATATAGGTGTTTATCAGACGTTTCTTTCTATCGATCTATGTCGTCCAATCTGTTCATATCTATCTATTTCTCTATCTCTCATTCTCCCTCCCCTCTCTCTCTATCTCACTCTCTGTTTCTCTGTGTATATATATATATATATATATATATATATATATATATATATATATATATAAAAGAAATATCTTGTAGTGGTTCCAACGAGAGAAAAGTATGTATATTAAAAAAAAGAAGAGAGGTGCCGCAAAAGTTTTTGGTTGTAATGACGATTTATTTAGAAAAAAATATTATGCTTTGTTTTACATAATTTTTACATATTTTTATATATATATATATATATTCCAATTTTCCAAGATGTATCTAAAGATGGGGAAGGCCAGAAAGGAGGGGACACACTTTCGGCCTTTGTGTTGCATCTACTTTACGCTTGAAAATCAATATATATATATATATATATATATATATTTTTATAAACACACACACATATATATATATATATATATATATATATATATATATATATATAGTTTTTCAGGAATTTGTTAGATATTACTTCTTTCCATCGATCTATCAAGCCAAATCTTTTCATATCTATCTATATATTTTTCTTTATTCTTTCCTTCACTTCATTTTTCATTTATTTTTCGCTTTATTTTTCGATTATTTCTATTTTAGTTGTATAATCAGTTAATTTGCCTTTTGTGATCGTTATTATTCAATTATCGAATGTTTTCTAATTCATTCATTTTTTTAGTTACTCTTTATTTATTTCTTCAATTACTTATTCTTTAAATTTTGTTTCTTTTCAAATTTATTTTTCTTTTTTATTCATCCCCTTACTTATATTCCCCTTACCTTCTTTATTCACATATTTATTCTTATTTTCTTATTTATTTATTCACTTTTCAAATGTTTTTTTTTATTTTGACTTTCTCTCATTTTATCAGACTTTTTATTATTTACTCTTTTCTTTCTTTCTTTCTTTTTCTTTCTTTCTTTCTTTTTTCTTTCTTTTTTCTTTCTTTATTTCTTTTTCTTTCTATCGTTCTTTTTCTTTCTTTTTTTCTTTCTTTCTTTTTCTTTCTTTCTTTCTTTCTTTTTCCTTTCTTTTTTCTTTCTTTCCTTCTTTCTTTTTTCTTTCTTTTTGTCTTTCTTTCTTTTTCTTTCTTTCTTTCTTTATTTTTTCTTTTTTATTTCTTTCTTTCTTTTTCTTTCTTTATTTCTTTCTTTTTCTTTCTTTTTTCTTTCTTTCTTTCTTTTTCTTTCTTTATTCTTTCTTTCTTTTTCTTTCTTTATTTCTTTCTTTCTCTTTCTTTCTATTTTCTTTCTTTTTTCTTTCTTTCTTTCTAATTCTTTCTTTCTGTTTTCTTTCTTTCTTTCTTTCTTTTTCTTTCTTTCTTTCTTTCTTTCTTTCCGTATTTTATCTTTTTTATATATTCAATTATTTATTTCTTACTTTCTTCATTTATTCATACAATTTTTTCTTCCTTTTCTGGCTTTGTATTCAATCTACTTTTTTTCTGTTTCTCCTTATCTGATCATAGGAATATATAACTAAAAAAAGAAAGAAAATAAAAATAAAAAAACAAAAAAAAAAAACAGATGTATCCAAGAAAAAAAAACATTTGCAAAAACCTTGTCTTGATTTCGGATCGAAGACAGAGGCAAATGGCCGTAAAAAGGATCTAGGGAGATTTATTTACGCATATTTAGAGGCTATCGGTGAAACTAGAGCTA